CCTACGTCTCGGTACCCTTGAAGTGGCCCTCAGCCTTAAAAAGGTTGGTGACCCCTGCTTTACAGTATACAGTAATAGGCATTAAACATTTCCCCACTCTCCTTGATGGGCTCTTGGCTGATCCTTTGCTGTTCCTTAACTAGTCCCCTACCATTCCTTTTTGAACATCAATATTTGTCCAAAAATATTCTTTCTGTCATGATTTGTGGACATTAAGATCTAAAGACCCTGTAATTCAGTGAAAAATTGGAGTGAGAGTAAAAAAATATGCATGCCCAGGAAAATGCCAGTGGCTGGAAGTTGGAGGGGATTTTGCTGGGAGCTGCAGGGAAGTGGGCTGCCATTCAGCTTGTGTTTGACTGGGAAGGGGCTGCAAATGAAGGTTGATGTATGTGAACATACCATTACTTTTAGAGTTAAGAAATTAGCTCTGGTTAGAAAGTGGCAGCATCATGCTGTAGGGAGAGTATATAGGAGGAAAGGTGGAAAAAAACACTGGGCTGTACTGGAAAAAAAACACCTGATTGAGTTTGCAGAAGAATAAAAAATTAAACAGAAGCTTAGCATAGAGCCAGAACATTCTGGGTTAAAGCTAATTTGTGTGCTAGGTAGGCTCAGTCAAAATTTTACACCTACAGTAGTAGCCATTCACAATTTCCCCACTTTCCTTGATGGGCCCTTGGCTGGTTCCCATACAATTGTTTTTTAAACATCAATCTTTGGACTAAAATATCCTTTCTGTCATGATTTATGGACATCAAAATCTAAAGGGAAGCATCATCTCCTGTTCAGACACTGTAATTCATTGAAAGGGTGGAGTTAGAGTGAAAAATATGCATGCCCAGGAGAAGGCCAGTGGCTGGAAGTTGGGAAGGATTTTGCCGGGAGCTGCAGGGAAGTGGGCTGCCATTCGGCTGGTGTTTGACTGGGCAGGGCAATTTGGAATGGCTGCTACTGTATAACTAATTCACAGTGTTTGGTAAAGCTGAAACACCCATAATTACAGACACTGTCTATCATACTTAAATTAGACTGAGTTACGTTTGAAAACGAAAGGGAAAAAAAAGGCTGTTGATGCACAAAGTATGTAGAGTCAGACTACCAAAGATTTGCTGCTGAAGTATCAGAAGAAGGTGGTATGATATCGATCAGCACCAGGATTTCTTTCCCTAATCATTCACCTTTTTTGTTTGTCATAATCTTAAGAAATTAGAATTTCCAAATGAAATTTCTTTTTGTTTTACACTTGTGTGAACAAAATGACAAATAAAATCTGTCTTAAGTCTAAGTCTCTAAAGAAAACACATTTATCTTTATGGTTCTAATATGACAGAATGCCAAATACATCTAAGGTCTGCTGCATGAATGCCAAACGGTTTATCTACAAAGTAAAAACAAATTGCAATATGCCATTAAAAGTGAGAAAAGAAGCTTAATAATGAGTGATAAATATAACCTGTTTTAGCATGGAGCTTCTTAAAAGCCTTTGAGGAAAGAGTGTGGCTATTTATTCTGAGTCCCCCGTTAGTCCTTGCTGACCTTTTTGCGCTGTGTAGTGGTTAAAATCCCTTTAATGTCCTTCTTTAATTACATACAGCAGGGATTTCTAGAAAGGTCCCAGTTAGAACACCATTAAAGGGGATTACAAACATATTCATTGGGGAAAAATAATCCAAACTCTCTGCTTTCTCCTCAGCTGCATCCAGCTGCATGGTTAATTTCACAGACCCAGAGGGATACATAGACTCCTCTGACAACCCGCCTCTGCCTGACGGCCTCTTCCTGCACTGCACCTACACTGTGACCGTCTACACCGGCTACGGAGTGGAGCTGCAGGTGTGTCTCAGCCCCAGGGAAATCCCACACATGACGACTGCAGTCAGGATGTGACATGTTCACGGCCAGCAGAGTGTTTGCTTATCACTACTAGTGTGATTGTGTTTAGGGATGCTGCAGTGTTTGTGTTCCTGTCGTCATGTGGATGCCTCCAAGACTTCTGCCTCCTAGTGGTAAAACTTAAAAGTGTCTTTATTAGCCAGGCCAAACAATATGAGGGAGTATTAGGGCCAGGCTAGAGATTTCTTTTCCTTCTATTTCATGAATAAAGTCGTAAAATTACGAGAATTAAGTCGTAACATTATGAGGAAAAAGTCACAACATAATAGTCATAAAATTATGAGAAGAAAGTCGTAATATTAAGAGAAGAAAAGATTAAGTCTTAAAATTATGAGAAACAAGTTGTATTTTATGACAACTCCTACAAGAAGCACTTTCTTCCTCAAAGTGAGGAATGTCAAGCATCATGTGAAGTTATACTTTGGCTCTGGTTTGATAAATAAAGAAATCTGTTAGTGAACCAGCATCAAATTGGGCAGTAGGTTAAAGTGGACTCAGGCTGCTGATTGGTGGAGCCTCATGAGGCTTCATCTCACCATCACTGCTGAGAACCAAAACCCACAAAAGGTCAGAGTAAACTCACGTGGGGAGCCAGAGATGAGGAAGCAATTAAACAACAGGGAACCAGCACTGAATAACTGCACACGGAGAGAATATAAGGGAGACAGAACAAGACGGGTAATCAGATGATATGGAGCAGATGTGGATGGAAGTGACTAGAAGGGAGCAAGGGGAAAGGAGACAGGCACAAGGGGGCAACAGAGAGTAACTTAAGACTGCTTAAATATAACACAAAATAAAAAAATCAAACAAAGACAAGCAAAACAGAATTACTGATAGTGTTGCACCAATGCCATATTTTGACCCCGATACCTGGCTGTGCAGTATTGGCCAATAATGGTACCATAGCGATACCATCTGCTTGAAATTGATGTGTGTGTATATATGAAGAACTGCATACTACTTGGATGTACAATAATTGCGATCATGTCTTTGTCAAGCTGCTGCCTACCTTTATAAAGCAGGAAAAAGACTAATAAAAAGAGAATCCAGCAGAACTTTTTATTATTAACCGGTAATGGGCGACAATAGTTGAATAAACTTTTGGTTCTCAAAATGGTATGGTGTAATGGTGTAACACTACTGATAACTGAAAACGAAAAACTAAAGTCCCATAAAGGGGAGAACCAAAACAATTTGGAATGTTTTGTTTTCAAATTGTAAATTAATCCTTAATATAAAAAAAAAAAAATAGAAATGTGGCTTTATCAGAGACAAACACAGAGCAGAAAATGTAACATCTTTTATGTCAGTGTACATCCACTGAAAAGCCTTCTTCATTAAATAGAGTCTAAACAGTGGCTCCGATCGTCTCTAATTACGACAATAACTTGCTGTGTGTTCAGGTGAAGAATGTGAATCTGTCAGACAGCGAGCAGCTGTCCATCAGAGGTGTAGATGACCGCGGCGCCATGCTGGTTCTGGCCAACCACACGCTGCTGGTGGAGGGTCAGGTGATCCGCAGTCCCACCAACTCTCTGTCCGTCTACTACCGCTCCGCCCCAGAGGGCAGCATGGGCCTCTTCCAGCTCCACTACCAGAGTGAGTCACCTCGCACCATTGGTGCACAAACACAGGAAACATAATCATGTGTTTATATAAACTGGTTATAGAATTTTTCCAACAGCCCTTTCATTAAGAGGCTGCTTGTGCTCTCTAAAGTGTATGTGTTAATTGCATAATCAAATACCTTCTCATTGAGTCACTCAGCACGGTGATTGAATCTGTCATGTGAATTAGCTGATTAGAGCTCTGATTAATTATCTCTCATCTCATTAGGAGGCTGAGAATATGGGACATTGTATGGTGAGAGTCTGTGTCGTAGGTTGCTTTCTATGTGTGTCTGAGGACGTTGTCGTACATACGACGACAACAACCCACCTGCGCTGTTAATCATAGTCATCTAATCCTTTTACATCGCTTCTACGATGGCACAGACTCAGATAAGAACCTTAGATTTGTGTCTGATTAAATAAGACAAATTAGATGATAAAGACTGCTTTAACAACCTAGAAATATTATTCCATCAAACCTGCAAAGCTTATTACGGTTTGTCAGTTCATGCTGTACCCACAGGTGCTCAGGAAGTCCATAAGAAAGTGAAGCTGATGTGGATGAATAATCCAGCTTTCAAGTTTCCAAGTTTTCTATCCAAGGAAAACCAGTTAATTGCATCGACTCATTGACTCGAAGGCAATTCCTCACACTAACCATGCTTGTAGCGACAGTGGAGAGGAAAAACTCCCTTTTAACAGAAAGAAACCTCCAGTAGAACCAGGCTCAGGGTGAGCAGCCATCTGCCGAGGCCGACTGGGGTTCAAGGAGACAGAAGCAGAGATACAGAAAGAAGCAGAGATACTCCATTCTAATAATTCATTATTTGATACATAAATTACATCCCTAGTGGAAGTAAAGCTGCATCTGATGGTCGTTTAGGTTCACCTAGAAACAGCAAACAATTAAAAGTAATTTGAACTGGAGCTGAGCAGTTCTGGCACTAGTGTAACTTTAACCACGAAGATGGAAAACCAACAGAAAAGGAAGCTTGGAATCGATGCAACATCTAAATCTTTTAAAGCTATATTTCCTTCTCTAAAACATATTGTTTTTTTTCCACCTGACTTTTTTGAAGATTTACCAAATGTGCTCGAACGTCACTTCTTTAATCTCTTGTCTCGTAGTTTTCAGGCTGAGTTGCTCACTTCCAAAGAGACCTCACTTTGGGGAGGTGTCAGTGCTGGATCTGCTCCCAGGAGGCATAGCTCGCTTTCACTGCCACATGGGTTATCACCTGCAGGGGAAATCTCAGCTCACTTGCATCAACGCATCGCTTCCGGTTTGGAGCGGGAAGGAGCCAAGCTGCAGGGGTGAGTCTGTATGGTGGTTTATTACAATAGCGCATCTCTGGGTACTCTGAGGTTTTAAGTAATACTGTAGAGTGTGTTCACAATCAGAGGCTGCATCCTTCGAAGGTTTGATGACTGATTGCATCACATAATTCCCCCAAATGCTGTCAGAAACCAAAACTCCTCCTAAAGCTCCTGTCACACCTTGAAGATTTAGACCAGCGTATGCCTGATGTAAAAAAGTTGGCAAAAACGCTGCCATACATTGAATAAGTTATGGGTACGTTTTAGTTATGAGCACGATGAAACACGCTGTCACACGTTGACATACGGCGAGTATGCCGGCGTATGCCATACATGGGGGATAAGTTATAGGTAAGTTATCTGATGGTTGACCTACGTTAAGTGGAAGTTACTCACAAGTTGTGGCGTCCAGCTTATCCGTAACCTATGAGTAAGTTGTGCATAACTGATGCGTAACTTATCAAGAACTTATTTCCAATGCATGTCAACGTGTTTCTAACTTCCAGCTACTTTATAATGGCGTATTAACAGCTTTTAGTATAAAGGGGGTTCACAGGAGGAAACCATCAGTTCTCCTCCAGACTTCATCCCCATCATAGGGTGAGCCAGAAGGTGAGTGTGATGGATCCTCCTTGCGTTCACGCCCACCACCAACAAACTTCCTAGCAGGAATTACGCTGAATCTGCTGCCACTGCAAACCTTCTTTCTTGCTTTTTGTTTAATTTCTTTTTTTCTTCTTTTTGTGGGGCGGTAAACAGCAGCTAGGTTAATAAAAAGGTCAAAGAATTCTTTTAATCTAGGCCGGACGCATTCCGGCGCATTCCTCAGGACGCTGGCTTGTCACATTTCATGGGCATTACGCTGCCAAACATTCTTTCCTTTCTTTTATTTATTTATTCTACTTATTTTGGGTAAACAGCAGCCAGGTTAATACCGCAATCAAAGACATCTTTTAATGCAGACCTCCTGGCGCATCGCTGCACCTGAGGGGAGCAGCTTTAACTTATGCTTCTTAATGGCCATGAAATAATGCACAAGCATCATTTCATGGACATTATGCTGCGGTGCTTTATGCATATGTTAGGTCGTTGTTGTCCATAAGTTCTGGACTCATTATGAATACTCTATGTTTATGCCCAAAACTGAAAAGAAATACATAGAAAGTTCAGCGTATGCCAGCTTTTTAGGAGGTTGTGGGACATCAGGCATATGCTGTCTAAATCTGCAAGGTGTTTCAGGGCCTTAAAATGGTTTTAAATGCAGCACACAAATACATCCTTTATTTGGCCAATCTGGAGGGTCCTTTCCCATAATTCAGTTCAGGTCGAAGCAGATAGGTCCAACTCAGGTAGCCATGCTTGACGTTCATAGGCGCAAATTATAAATAACATAAAAATAAATTACACCTTCTATAACACAGAATAAACTTTTATGGCATTTTGAGAATAACTTACACAGCAAAAAAAATGTATTATCTAATTATCTAATTTTAAGAGTAAAAATACTCAATCCTTATGCAAACCATCTTATTTACCTACATAAATGAAGGGTAATACATTTAATTTAACACTTTTTTTGCTTATTTTTTGCAGTTTTTTGTGCACTATAAATACTTGAAAAAGCAGTCAGATGTTTCTCAGCACCATCTTGCCTCGGCTGCTGTCAGCTAACCAGGAAGTCTTCCCGCTCATCATGCTAAACTGCTGGGTGGAAATTAAACACATAACTTATTCATATTTTCAGACTTTCATGTTCATCTTCATTTAATACTTTGGCTTGCTATTGAATAAATCTTGGCTGACATAAAGGTTAAGCTTCAAAATTATTATTATTTTTTTTTTTTTACTATACTGGAGTTATATGAGGAGATGAAGAATTAACTCATCCTCACATAAATAAATATATGTTTATTAGTTACATTTATGAATAAATATTTTCTTATATAAATTTTTATGTGAAAAAATGATTGTTAACTATTTATGAAGAGAAAAAAGTAAAAGAAAAGATTACATTAGTAAAATATTGTATTCCTAACCCCCTATCCGCACCCAGTCACCAAATGCCTTACAATTATCTTTAATCGTTACACAATTGTCTTATATTTCAAAGATTACAATACATTGTTTCATAATTGTATGTATTTACTTAAAATTTTGTCCTTATTAAATTAACATTTATATAGCACTTAGGTTGAAAGTTAGTGTGGAAATTATTTCTTCTTCTGTAATCAGTTCCTAATTCAACAAGACTAAAAACAATAATATAATAATTAGTGCAGTTTCTAAATCAATGAGATCCTTGAATTCAAGGTGTCTATTTCTAATTTATAAATTATTTTTATGCTCTCTGTTACCTTTTTTGTTTACAACTCTAATGTCTCTTTTCTTTAACAGCAGAAACGTGCCTGTGGCTACGGTGCAAAGACTAAATTTACAAAAACAGGAGCAAATGGTCTGGGTCAAGAAAAAAAAAAAAACTTAATTTATCCTCAATATTGTGGATGAGAAATTTATTTGTATGTTTAAAAGTCAGGTTTTTCATAGCAAAATAATTCCTCTAAGCTGATATATTTTTCACAAGAATGTTGTTTTTCTTAATCTCTTTGAAAATCAACACAGAAAGCTTTAGGCATCTTCTATATGATTTCATGATAAGTTTTCCATTAATAATTAAAAGTAAGAACCCTGATCTAAATAATAATTTATTCATAACTTTGGTCCCATGGCGATGTTGCATTGGATTTTTTAAATTTTGTTACTAGTTATAAAGGTTGGGACTCCACTGGTTTCATATATGTATGCCTGATGGTGCTACGGTTGCTAGGCGATCAAGTTACGTTAAGATGATGATGGTAAAAGGATGCAGCCACTGAATTGGGACGTGTTAGAAATATTTTATTTATACTTTTACTCCGTGTGTGTTTCATGGGTTGTGTACTAATGGACTATTATGATGTATAATGTGTGATTCATCGATTATTAACTCTTGCTAAAGATCGTTACAGATAAAGGTCATGCAACGGACGGGCTGTAAAAGAGTCCTGAACATCCTCTATCACATGTTTCTTCTAAACATGTGTTCTTGGAACAAATTTAATTGTAAAACAACCACATGTTTGGTTTTAACATATGTGCGGAGGTTTAAAGTAAGATCATTTTGTTTCCCTTTCCATTAGTACAACCTCAGCTTGTGTAATAAGGGACATCCCCTGACTTTAATAAATAGCGAGGAGAAAGCTGAAGACCAGCAGAGTGGGTTGGAGATTTGTAAACTCTGCGGTCTCCTCCTACTCTCCTCGCGAGTAAAACTAAACTAATTGTCTCTGTGCCTTTTTCTTTCCCTGCATGTTTTAGGTGCTTAGACCTGACAGGACGCATCCATATTGTAGTGTTTATAAAAACATACTATCTTCCCTGTAGCTCTTTGCGGAGGCACAGTAAAGAATGCAACAGTAGGGCGGGTGCTGTCCCCATCTCCCCACCATGGACCCAATGCCACTTTGGACCGTTCCTGCTCCTGGTCTCTGGAGGCACCAAAGGACCAAAGGCTGCATCTTCACCTAGAGAGGCTGGCCCTGGGACCAACGGACCGGTAGGGGCAAGCAAGTTAGCAAGTTATGATCCCCAGGTCCAAGTCAGTTCAGATTATTGTCATCTAAATACATGTCATCTAATCCAAGGGTTCAGAAATGCTCCAGCCTGTGACCCAAAACACAACAACTGGCGACCCCCTAAAAATACTGATCATTTCTTCACTGTATATTTATCCATAAATATAAAGAGACTTAACATTAGATCTAGACAAATTTTATTGTAATTTTGTACACAAAGGGTGCATACAAAACGAAATTTCGTTCAGTACAGCAAGATATTTCCATTTCTTAAAGTGCAACAATGATAAAATATAAACATGGTGATCAAATGTAAATATAAGACTGAAATATGATTTATAATTTTTGCAAATTTTTTTTTATTTTTTAATAGCAGTTAATGATTTCTTTTATCATTTTAGATGTAATTTAGATTATTCAATGGACATTACTTAATTGTGCATTTTTTGCATTTATTGTATATTTGATATTAAGCACAGAATACACAGACTTTAAAGAGAATATATCAGGATAAGAATGTTGCTGCTTTACTGTAAGTAAAATAACAGGAACACATATTTTTATTCTATTCCCATGAACAGCTAAATCTATGTATTTAAACATATTAAAAAAGTGTTTAATTGAATAAATAATGTTGATTTACTTTACTGGACTGTTCTGTGTGAATCCCTGCAGACTGGTGTTATGGAGTGGCCTGGATGCCGGTTCTGTCGTGCTGTTTGATTCGGGCCGGGGCGGACAGATTCCCTTTGAGGGGGTTATCAGTGAGGGTCCAGCTGTGAGGGTCCAGTTCATCACCGATCAGCCCAACCATGAGACGGGGTTTAACATTCGCTATGAAGGTACAGGAAGTAGCAGAACCTCTCTGCAGTTTAACGTTTGCTTACATCCTTCTTTCTGTTTGCTGTTGCAGCCTTTGAGCGCGGCCACTGCTATGAGCCCTACCTCCAGAACGGAAACTTTACAACATCAGACCCCTTGTATGCCGTCGGAACCGTTGTCCAATTCACTTGTGACCCGGGTCATTCTTTAGAACAAGGCCCTCCAGTGATAGAGTGCATAAGTGCCAGGGACCCGTACTGGAACGATACTGAACCTATCTGCAAAGGTACAATAAAGTTTTTCATGTTTTGACGCTAAATTAGTCTTAGTCTAAGGTATTCACTGGTTTTTCAAACTTGTTCTACCTGATGAGTGGTTTTAAGTTGGTGATAAATAATATATTTTTGAGAGGTTTTAAGAAATTAGGGGTAAGTTATTTTATTTTATTCCAAGAATGATGGTGTGCAAAGTGTGGTAAGGGCTCCGTGTGTGACCCCAAACATATTCTGTGTTACATCAAATTAGAAATTCCAGAGTTTTCAGGGAATTTTAATGTATTTCTTCTAGTTAAAACTAATTGAATAAACTGTCACGGTCTTGGTTCGGTTTAAGTTTTCTTTTAAGTTTTCAGTTTCACTTTGATCCATGTTTTTCTTTGTTTCATTGGTTTAATTCCTATTTTGTGGTGTAATCTGGATGTATTTGAGTTCTTAGGTTTTTCTTGGTCACCATCTGTTTCCCTCTTGTGGGTCGGTCTGCTTTTCCCTAGCTCCTTTCTAGAATCCTCTGTTCACTCCTGTTCACACCTGCTTCCAGTCCTGTCTTCTTTATTCTGTCTCCCATATATACTCTCCCTGTGTAGTTTCTCAGTGCTGGTTCCTCGTCTTTTCCTGGCTCCCAACGTGAGTTTTCCCATGATTTTTGGTTTCCAGTATTTTTTTCTCTGGTTTTTGCCTCAATTATTCAATTAAATCTTCAAGAACACACCTCTGCCTCTTCGCCTCTGCATTTGGACCCTCAAAACCTCAATCCAAGCCTGACACAAACTGTATGATCATCTTTAATATAACAAACATGTAAAACCCTTTTTGGGTTTGATCTACCATGCATCTCATCCCTCACTTCGAATATCTATTTTATTCTACAGTCTTTGCTCTTTAGTTGAGCACTTTATTAAAATTATCAGCCAATAAAATCAATATTTTCACCCCTTAAATAAGAATAATATAGATACACTCCAGCTGATATGAGATTATGAATGTTTTATATTATTCCTCATTTCAGAGGCAGATCATTAACTCCTTGCTCAAATCCAAATATTTTTTTTTCTTCACTTTTTGCACTGCTGTCCTACAGGAAATCTGACTAATGTATTTATTATAACATTCTCACATCTTACAGAACGGGTAAAAGACAATTACGGTGCTTAACAAATAAACCCTCCCATTTTGAGCTATGATACTTTTTAACTTTCATGTAATTTTGATTAGTGGATTTTGGCCCAGGCAACAAAGGTTTGGAAACTTTTCTGTGCAAATTATGGCAACCACAAAACAGGCTTAAATCAGGAGTCTTTGTCAATTATGCCTAGTGATGTCCCGATTACAGCTTTTTCTTTTTGATACGATATCTCATATTGCAGCTCTGAGTTTTGATCAATACTGGTATTGGCCCGATATCATGTTGTAGTGTGCCATATTAGGAACGACCTGATCAAGTGATGTAACTCAACCAGAGAAAAATAGTTATGCTTAGTTCAGAACGCACACGATAAAGGCAGCAGAAGCAGCTAGTTTACATGCAAAGTCTTTGGTTGATACGAATCAAGGCACATCAAAAGGTCCTGAAGTGTTTTGAGCAGCTGCAGGACCGTATTCTGGAGCCTGCAGCTTGGAATGCGTACATGAAAACCCCCTTCCAGCCGCTGCTAACATTAGCGAAAACCACAAAGATGCGACTGGGCCTAGGCTGCCATGGAAG